CTGGGAACGTCTAGCAGAGGCCCCAGTCCGCGAGATCTTCAACGCACACCTCCGGCAGAGCTTCAACAGCATTCCGAGGGAGACTGGGGACATTGAGTCCGAATGGACCATGTTCAGCGTCTCCATTGCCGAAGCTGCTGCATTGAGCTGCGGCCGCAAGGTGGTTGGTGCCTGCCGTGGTGGTAATCCCCGAACCAAATGGTGGACACCAGAGGTGAAGGGAGCCACCAGGCTGAAGAAGGAGGTCCTATCGGGCTTGGTTAGCCTGTGGGACTCCGGAGGCAGCCGACAGGTATCGACAGGCCAAGCGGAATGCGGCTCGGGCAGTGGCTGAAGCAAAAACTCGGGTGTGGGAGGAGTTCGGAGAGGCCATGGAAAAAGACTTTCGGACTGCCTCGAAGAGATTCTGGCAAACCGTCAGGCGTCTCAGGAGGGGAAAGCGGTGCTCTACCTGCGCTGTGTATAGTGCTGGCGGAGCGCTGTTGACGTCGACTGAGAAAATTGTCGGGCGGTGGAAGGAATACTTCGAGGACCTCCTTAATCCCACTGACACGTCTTCCGAGGAGGAAGCAGAGTCTGGGGATGAGGGGTATGACCCGCCAATTTCCGGGGGCGAGGTCACTGAGGCAGTTAAACAACTCCTTGGTGGCAGAGCCCCTGGTGTTGATGAGGTCCGCCCCGAGTTCCTGAAGGCGCTGGACGTTGTAGGGCTGTCTTGGTTGACACGTCTCTGCAATGTTGCGTGGAGATCAGGGGCAGTGCCTGTGGACTGGCAGACCGGGGTGGTGGTCCCCATCTTTAAGAAGGGGGACCGGAGGGTGTGTTCCAACTACAGGGGGATCACACTCCTCAGCCTCCCTGGGAAAGTCTATGCCAGGGTGCTGGAGAGGAGAGTTCGTCCGCTAGTCGAACCTCGGATACAGGAGGAACAATGCGGTTTTCGTCCTGGTCGCGGAACACTGGACCAGCTCTTTATCCTCTCGAGGATACTTGAGGGTGCATGGGAGTTTGCCCAACCAGTCTACATGTGTTTTGTGGACTGGAGAAGGCATTCGACCGTGTCCCTCGGGGTGTCCTGTGGGAGGTGTTGCGGGAGTATGGGGTGTCTGGCCCATTGCTACGGGCCATTCAGATCCCTATACAACCGTTGCAAGAGCTTGGTTCGCATTGCCGGCAATAAGTCGGACTCGTTCCCGGTGGGTGATGGGCTCCGCCAGGGCTGCCCTTTGTCTCCGGTTCTGTTCATAATTTTTATGGACAGGATTTCTAGGCGCAGCCAAGTGGCGGAGGGCTTTCGCTTTGGTGGCCTCAGAATCTCATCTCTGATTTTTGCGGATGATGTGGTTCTGTTGGCTTCATCGGGTGAGGGCCTCCAGCTCGCACTGGAACGGTTCGCAGCCGAGTGTGACGCAGCGGGAATGAGGATCAGCACCTCCAAATCTGAGGCCATGGTTCTCAGCCGGAAAAGGGTGGAGTGCCCACTCCGGGTCGGGGATGAGTTCCTGCCCCAAGTGGAGGAGTTCAAGTATCTCGGGGTCTTGTTCGCGAGTGATGGGAGAAGGGAGCCGGAGATCGACAGACGGATTGGGGCTGCGGCTGCAGTAATGCGGACGCTGCACCGGTCAGTCGTGGTGAAGAGGGAGCTGAGTGTAAAAGCGAAGCTCTCAATTTACCGGTCGATCTACGTCCCTACCCTCACCTATGGCCACGAGCTGTGGGTAGTGACCGAAAGAACGAGATCGCGGATACAAGCGGCGGAAATGAGCTTCCTCCGAAGGGTGGCTGGCCTCTCCCTTAGAGATAGGGTGAGAAGTTCGGCCATCCGGGAGGGGCTCAGAGTAGAGCAGCTGCTGCTCCACATCGAAAGGAGCCAGCTGAGGTGGTTCGGGCATCTGGCAAGGATGCCCCCTGGGCGCCTCCTGGGCGAGGTGTTCCAGGCATGTCCCACCGGGAGGAGGCCCCGGGGCAGACCCAGGACACGCTGGAGAGATTATATCTCTCGGCTGGCCTGGGAACGCCTTGGTATTCCCCCGGACAAGCTGGAGGAGGTGGCTGGGGAGAGGGAGGTCTGGGCCTCTTTGCTTAGGCTGCTGCCCCCGCGACCCGACCTCGGATAAAGCGGATGAAGATGGATGGATGGATGGATGGATGGATGTTAAATAATCATCATCATTACCCTTGCATTAATAATATAATCTGCAGCATTGATATTGTATTCAGAGGTTTAAACAGTGTGTGTCTTTTAGAAAGACTAAGTGCAGCAGTTGACAGGAAGTTGCAGAGAGTTTGCAGAAGTGAAAGCAGAGTCTAAGTTATTCTGAGAAGCAGGTTAGACGAGGCTATTTGAATTACTAGGTTATTCAAATTGTCTGTTATACTTTTATATTCTTTTATTAAGCTCTTAGTAGAGGTTCTTGATTAAAACATTTATTCAACATAGTACATGTAGTTTCAGTTAGGTTATTACACATAAGGATGAGCCTCTGGTCTGGTGAAAGGTCAGAAGTGTAAGGGGAAGATGAGAAAGCATTTAAGGACTAGACACAGACTTATTTATAGGTGAGGGGTTAGTCATGTCTGGTTGTAACTGCGAAGTTGTCTCTGTAAAAGAGGAACTGTTTCTTGTTGTTGTCTCTGAAAATGAGGAACGAGGTCTCGCACAATGGGTGATTAAACAGGAAGTCAAAAGGTTGACCGGAGGAATCGGCCATGAAAATAGAAGACGATGTTCTTTTAAACTGTGTTAAAAGTCATTGTGGTTTTGATTTGACGTATGTATATATTCTGTCTGTGACGTATGAAGGGGCGTCATTAATTCAAACCCTGATGCTATAAAAATCTGTGTATGCTTTGATTAAGTCGAAGATCAATCCCTGTCTGCGTACAGACTGGTCTTCCCACGCGTGTATTCATTAAAATCAATTGTTTGACCAAGATCTTCTGGACCATGGTTGTTTGTACTCTCCTTCCTCAATTTTGAACCTTAACATCACCCCAGTGATTTCAAGCAAGTAACTATTTGCTATTTGGGGGAGACCATGGTTCAGGGGTTGGGAAGTCATCTGTAACCGGAAGGTTGCCGTTCGATCCCCCGCTCTCTCTGTCCTGGTCGTTGTGTCCTTGGGCAAGACACTTTACCCTACCGCCTACTGGTGTTGGCCAGAGGGGCCGATGGCGCGATATGGCAGCCTCGCTTCTGTCAGTCTGCCCCAGGGCAGCTGTGGCTACAACTGTAGCTTGCCTCCACCAGTGTGTGAATGTGAGAGTGAATGAATTGTAAAGCGCTTTGGGTGCCTTGAAAAAAATTATAAATGCAATCCATTTTTATTTATTGATGTATTTATTTAATTTATTTTGGCACTCCATCCATAGTAATGTGTTAGACAGAAATCATATTTCAAATGGCATTTGGTACTTCAAACCATATATTACTGTTTAAACAGAATTTCTAACACTAGAATAAGGTCAGATACAGTCACGGCCACGTAGCTGGTGTGTTTGTGAAGCGGAACAAAAAACAGACACAGGAGAGTAAACTCAGTATAAGAAAAGGTGAGCCATTTATTTGGCTGACAATACATGAACACAAAACAAGGCAAAGTGCGCTGGGGTAAAAACTAAACTGAAATCTAAACCGGGAATAAATTCAGATAAACTGTGACAAGAGAACATAAATCTGAAAAGCTGCATGCGGAACTATGACGTGAAAAAAAAAAACTAAAAAAAAAAAAAAAAACACGCCAAAACTAAACACACTGACCATGGAAACAAGACTTTCAAAATAAAACAGGAAACATGGAGAGATGTAGACATGCTAACAAAAGCTCGATAACATGAAACATGCAGACGAGAACTACATGACAGGCTGGGGAGACACTAATTTGAATAAAATTAGGCTAAATTTTAAATCAAGGCAACAGGGTAGGACAACTTTGTATAAACTGCCACTTCTATGACCAAAAAGAGAATTCAAATTGTGAAAAATTTAGGTAGCATTTCAGGTAATGCAGTACTAGTTCATCCCAGTTTAAATAAACTAAACTGTACCTTTAGACGTAAACATGAGGTATTGACATACTTCTGTTATTGACATTGTTCTGTCACAAGCTCTCCATCCGGAAGTCTCTCACATTAGTAAATGCAAAGAGTCTCATTTCCATTCATGAATCACTTTTAGACCAAAAAAAGCCATGAGAAATGATTACATATAGCCACAGTCACAGTGAAACCCCTGAGGAGAAACGCTCAGAAAGTATTTTAAATAACACAGTTGGGACGATGGATCCTTATTTTGATAGTTTTCTTTTCTTACCACGCCCTTGTCTAAATTCTTTTTCAAAATGCAATTATTTTATTTCCAAAGACTATTTCATAACCAACAAGTGTGTCCTTCACAGTCTTGAATTCTGCAAAACCACCACTATTTTAGGTCCCAGATAGACTGTGATAACGGATCCATATTTCTTAAATACCTAAGAACAGCAACATTTGGTCTTCCGATGTCTGTGAAAATATGGACATATGCTGCTGTTCTAAGGAGAGATAAATAATCCATGGGGAGAAATAACAAGACAGAACAAAACAAAAAAAGAAAATAAAAACCATTTTTTTGTATCCATACATGATCCATCTTTTGTCTAACTAATAAAAAACAAAAACAAATTCTTTTACACACACATCCAAGAAAACATCAGTACTGATGATTCTGGCGTACATTTCTATGGCAAATTACTCTTATTGTTTAGTAGAAAGAAAAAAAAACAGAAGGAAAAAAAAGATTACACCCAGATGATTCAGTTCTTTGTACAGGCTAGGACAACTTTTGTCAAGAATTTCTCTCCATCACATACAGGAAACAGCATACAGTTTGTGAGGTGAAGGTCCGAGAGTAGCGCCCACACTTGGCGTGAGATCCAATTCGTCCTCTGAAACTCCAGGTGCAGGAGCGAAATGAAAATGCTGCAGGAGGGTGCTGAAGAAGAGGAAGAGCTCCATCCTGGCCAGACTCTCTCCGAGGCAAACCCTGCGACCTGTAAGAGACAATTGAAGAATAACTTCAGCTGTCCTGTCAGTAGATGTAACCTAAGCAATGATGGCTGAGCTCACAAAACTGCAGAAAATGGAATGAAGGCATCTCACTTAACAAACTTTTTTTCTTTGTCCAGGAAGTGAGCAGGATAAAAGCTGCGTGGCCTCTCCCACTCCTCTGGATCATGCAGGACAGGTGTCAAGAAAGGAAACACAAATTACAATACAGAAATGGAAAATCCTCTATATGGGGAATAATAACGAGAAGGCAGTAGGCACAAAAAGGACCGGAATGAAAAGAAACAGCACATACGTGTTTTCTAAGGCCAATCATTCCCCTCTTTCTGCAGTTGCTTAACAACCTGCCTTCAAGATTCAGTTTTATGCATTCAGTTAAACCAATGAGAATATAGGAGGTGGGTTATTCAGTCTAACCTTCTCACTTTATCGAGAAGGTTAGACTGAAAAGTGATGTCTCGGGTGGTTTTGTGGGGAAGTGTAGTGGGGATGATGCTGCTCAGTCTCTGTATCTCATGGATGACGGTGTCAGTGAAGGGAAGACTTTTCCTGTCAGCAACCTGCACCTGTTGGTCTTCTATGACCCTCCTCAGCTCCTCCTGGACCTCTCTGGTACATGAAAGACAAAGTGGACACATTTTATCTCTGAAAACCCTAAGCTATAGTCAAGAAATGCAATTTACATCACTTCTTTCCTTTGATTTTGTTATGGTCACTCCTTCCTGTCCATTGGCATTTTCAAATTGAGGATTACTCAGGCACCTCACCCTATATCTTTGGATATTTGGCTATAAGCAGAAGTGCCCATCTCATCTCAGTGTTTGCCGGCAGCAAACAGATTCATTACTGTAATTAAAAGGTTATCATCATGGAAGTGACTTTTGATAATCCCAGCCTTCTGCACATAGACATTTAACAGCAAAGTCACTAAAATAAAGTTTAAGTCGTTTTTTGATGATTATTTAACAATAGCAGTAAAATAATTTCCCTGCTCCACAGTGACCACACAGTTGTACAACTGCACAGAAAAATAAGCTTGAGAACTTGGCTGAAGCAAAAAAACAAAAAAACAAAAACAACTTTATTTTTGTATCAAACTGTAACCATCTTAATGGTGTTCATCACGAGAACAGCTGCTACTCATGATTCAGGTCTTCAGTGGTAAGTCCGGCATTTTTATAAATCTGTTTTCCAAACAGTAACAGCTTAGCTCTATATTACATTTATTTCTCATGATTAAATACAAATAACTGTAAGGGATAATATCTGGAAGATTCCTAAGGCCTTAAAAAGAACCAGAGAAATCTAACAGATTTTGTCACTATTTCACTTTTTATTCATGATCCTTTAACTCAAATACACTCATTGTTTGATTGTGGTTAAACAATAAGAATTCGGTGACAGGTCTTTCTGAGTAGAAAATCAATATCAGTATAGAGCAAAGTAACAGCTTGCTAACAGTAATAATTTACTAAGTCATTCAGATTAACCTTTCTACTGCATTTTCCCACCCCCTTGTAGTGGATGTCTAGATTGGTCAACTAAGAAACAAAAAAAGAAAGAAAAAGAACTTCAGTACCAAATGCTGGGTCAGTGAGTCGCTGTGTACAAAGAACTATCAGAGGACATTTTGTTTTATAATCATGGGGATATTAGATGTTTTTCTCCAGTGTTTCAGTTCTTTGTTCTTATTGGGGGCTGTCATAGTCCTCCTGCTAATCTATTTAATTTCCTCTTCGAGTTTCAGTACTCAAAAACATGGTAATGAGCCTCCAGGACCCAGACCACTTCCGTTGTTTGGGAACCTACTTCAGCTTGACCTGAAAAAACCCTACAACACATTACTGGAGGTGAGTTTGTTTTTGCATTACTTTTCTTTTAGGTGGTTTTCAAGATTCAGCTATACAGGGAGCTGCCTACATTTGTTTTGTTGGATTTGTGTCAAAGAATGAACTTTTTTCTGTTCTTAGTTATCCAAGAAATATGGATCAGTCTTCACGGTCTATCTGGGAACTAAAAAAGTGGTGGTCCTGTCAGGATACAAGACAGTGAAGGAGGCACTTGTAGACTATGATGACGTGTTTGGAGACAGAAATCAACCAGAGATCATGCGTGAACTTAGTCAAGGACATGGTATGAAAAGTGACTATTATGCTACAATAAATGTATTTTTCAGAATCTAGTGTTAGTTAAACTACTTTGTAAAAATTTCATTTCAGGGGTTGCGTGGTCCAACGGCGATTCATGGAAAGAAATGAGGCGCTTTGCACTGACTAACCTGAGAGACTTTGGGATGGGCAAGAGAGCATGTGAGGACAAAATAATTGAAGAATGTCAATACCTCATTGAAGTTTTTAAGAAATTTCAAGGTAAAACTAATCACATTGTGTTGAGTTTAGTAAATAGTAATCAAACTGACATTTTTTTCTAAAGTTCATGTGCTATTTTATTTCTGTTGTAACAGGAGAAGCTTTTGATACAACCCAACCAGTTAACTGTGCAGTCTCTAATATTATCTGCTCCATCGTCTATGGCAGCAGATTTGAATATAATGATCCAGAGTTTAAATCTCTGGTAGATCGGACAGCCAGAATTATTAGACTTAGTGGAAGTCCCTCAATACAGGTATTAATTCCTATTTTTTGAAGCTACGGAATTTTTAAAAGTACATAAACTGTATCAATTCAACAATGTTATTTAATCCCAAATATAAATGTGATGATTCACAGATCTTCGACATGTTTCCATCGCTCTTCAAGTGGACTGCGGACAGAAATGAAATACACAAAATATTTTCTGCCAATAAGAAACAAAACCAAACCATCTTCAGTCGCTTAAAAGAGACTCTGAATCCCCAGATGTGCAGAGGCTTTGTAGACGCCTTTCTGGTTCGCAAACAAAATCTGGAGGTTGGCATCTCTATCATCTTTCAAGTTGGTGTTCATGAATGTTTCACTGAAGCTCAGGGTGAAACTTTGTTCCAACTAGTGAAAAAATCCCAATCAGTGGGCTAAAATTCCTCCACATTGATTGAAAGACATTATCAGAAATGCTTATTTAGAAGTGGTTGATTGCAGTTCTAGATGCAAAGGGTGACACAACCAGTTGTTAGGTTTAGGTGGTAAATACTTTTTTGCACAGAACAAAGTAGGTTTGGATAGTTTTTCCCCTTCATAAATGAAATCATCATTTAAAACCTGTAATTCATATTTACCTGGGTAAATACAAAATACTTTGCCTAAAATTAAAGTTTTTTGATGCTCTGAAATATTTATGTGTGATAACTATGCATAAAAATCAAGAGGAATTCAACAAAGGGGAAAAATACTTTTTCATGGCACTGTATATAAGACAGCACGGTGGCACGGTGGTTAGCACTGTTGCCGCACAGCAAGAAGGTCCTGAGTTCAATTCCACCATCAGGCCGGGGTCTTTCTGTGTGGAGTTTGCATGTTCTCCCCATGTCTACGTGGGTTCCCTCCGGGTACTCCGGCTTCCTCCCACCGTCCAAAGACATGCAGTTTGTGGGGATAGGTTAATTGGATAATCCAAATTGCCACTAGGTGTGAATCTGTGAGTGAATGTGAGTATGAATGATTGTCTGTTCTTGTGTGTTAGCCCTGCGACAGACTGGCGACCTGTCCAGGGTGTACCCCGCCTCTCGCCCTATGACAGCTGGGATTGGCTCCAGCACCCCCTGCGACCCTGAAAATGTAAAATCAGTGTTGGACAACTTCTTTTTTTGTACTACTGAAGCCCCTTAAACTTTATTTTAGTGACTTTGCTGTTAAATGTCTATGTGCAGGAATCTGGGATTACCAACAGTCACTTCCATAATGAAAACCTTGTGATGACAGTCATGCATCTGTTTGCTGCCGGCACTGAGACAACATCAACTACACTGAGATGGGGACTTCTGCTTATGGCCAAATATCCAAAAATTCAAGGTGAGAAGTCTAAGTAATCCACAACTTGCATATGCCAATTATTGTTTTTACTGAAAACAGACCATCACAGAAACAAAATCTGATCTTCATGGAGTTTTCAAGTATGGTGAAGTGTTTTAGTCCGCCTCATAGGGATGAAATGTGTACACTGTTCTTGTTCATACTCCAGATGAGGTTCAGGAGGAGCTGAGGAGGGTCATAGGAGATCGACAGGTGCAGGTTGCTGACAGGAAAAATCTGCCCTTCACTGATGCCGTCATCCATGAGACACAGAGACTGAGCAGCATCGTCCCCACTGCACTTCCTCACAAAACCACCCAAGACATCACTTTTCAGGGTCACTTTATCGAGAAGGTAAGACTGAATAACACAGCTACTATGGAAAACAAAGCTCAACAAAATACTCAACAAAGCTGTGGCCCATCAGGTACTTGGACTGGTTGAGGATAATAAGGACTGTGTGTAACATAACTAATTACTATAAGACATTATTATTTAACATACAGGAGGCATTTTCAGTTTGTGTATTGTCATTTCTGCAGGGAACCACAATTTTTCCTTTCTTGACATCAGTCCTGCATGATCCCAACGAGTGGGAGAGACCACATAGCTTTTATCCTGCTCACTTCCTGGACAAAGAGAAAAAGTTTGTCAAAAGAGATGCTTTCATTCCATTTTCTGCAGGTTTGTGAGCTCAGCCATCACTGTTTAGTTTACCTTGACTCACAAGAGAGCCAGAAATGTTTCATGAATTCTCTTGCAGGTCGCAGGATTTGCCTTGGAGAGAGTCTGGCCAGGATGGAGCTCTTCCTCTTCTTCGCCACCCTCTTGCAGCATTTTTGTTTCACACCTGCTCCTGGAGTTTCAGAGGACGAATTAGATCTCACTCCAAGTGTGGGCTTAACACTCAGCCCTTCACCTCACAAACTGTGTGCTGTTTCCTGTATGTGATGAAGAGGTGTTCTTAACAAAGTTTAGGCCCAAGTGTAAGATTTCTAACATTTCTGTTCTGCTCAGTAAAGGTAATGTGCCATAGCAATATACTTCTGTTGGCCTGTTAAAGAATCCAGCTCAGTTTAATGCATAATAGTAATCGCTTGTGTTTAGAAAGTGTTTTGAAACACTTTCATGATCTAGAAAAAGAAAAAAAACTGCTGTGTTGCTGCTTATGTTCCAAAGTTGATGTACTCCCCAGTCTCATGTACTAAAGGAGGTTTTATTTTTGTTTTAAATTAGTCCTTTCTGTGGGGTTTTATTATTTGTTATTTCAAAGCAATTCACATGATCTACAAAATTAAATAAACCACTTTTAAATTTTATTTTCAAGGTTTTTTGTATAACCCAGTCTTATCCATTAATTTACCATCTACCTGTATAACAGTCTGAATAGTTAAAAATACTAGATAATGAAAATTATTCAACACTATGTGAACAATGGCATGACAGTTTTTCACATGATACAAATTCTGAACAACAAACAAATGCACAATTTTCCCGCCCCAGTACTTCTACAGCACAATTACACCAAAACTACGCGCGACATGGCAGCCTCGCTTCTGTCAGTCTGCCCCAGGGCAGCTGTGGCTACAACCGTAGCTTGCCTCCACCAGTGTGTGAATGCGAGAGTGAATGAATAGTGGCATTGTACAGCGCTTTGGGTGCCTTGAAAAGCGCTATATAAATCCAATCCATTATTATATTGACAAAGTCGAGGGTAAAGTGATTCAGAACAAAATGGCAATGACCTCTTTCTGAGTTTCCTTTGTCCTAAATGCAAATATTGAGAACAAGGAGTTTTACAACAAGCCAGAGTTCAAAAAGCACCTCATCTATTTCAGTGGATCACTGCTAGACCATAAAACCCAGAAAAAAATATGTGAAAGTCATTTAAGTAACAAAAAGATGATAGGTGATGAATTCATAAATGTTAAAAGTTAAACTTTAAAGGGACAAAGCTTTCCATCGGAGAGCTGGGACAGCACTACCCCAACCCCTGAGTCCAAAACACCACCACAAAAGGCTTGTTGAGGTCGACCTGGATCAGGATGGGCACACATGAGAAATGTTGCTTCAGCCGATCGGAGGCTTGCTGAACGGAGGAGGACTACTGAAACGACATGTGGAAGGCAGCAACACCGTTCAGTAGGCCGACCATGACGGCAATGTTCCTCAGCCTACGGCCTGGAAAGTGGCCAACGATGGTGTGCTAGGCGTGAACAAGCTGGCCATGCCAGCCGAGGAGGATGTGGACCGGATGATGTAGGCCCAGACGAGGCAGGACCAGACAAGGCAGGTGGAGCTGCAGTCAACGGTGTGGAAACTAGTGGTGTGTGATACTGCATAATTTGGTATCGATGCGATACCATGTAAATACAGGCCAATATCGCCGATACAAATCTCAACAAATCTGATTTTCATGACCTCAAGCGTTTTTTGTGATGTTTCCTTTTTTATTATTAAATACTTAAAACCCAGAACATATTTGGCACAAAGTTTGTAATTAAATAGAAAATGCTTATAGAAAATGAATATTATCAATATTTATTAGAAAGACTTTTAATAAAAAGTCTACGCAAACCTCGACGACCTGACTGTTTCGTCTTTGCCAAAACCACAGCATTGCAAACAAGAGCGGAACTTAAAGTAAAGAATCGATCTCACCAGGCTAGTATCGATCCGATGCCGACTTGGTATTGGTACAATTGATATGTGGATCGATCCACTCACCACTAGTGGAAAATGCAGCTGCAGGTGACAGTGTGGAAACCGCAGGTGGTGGTACTGCAGGCAATGGCGTGGAAGCCACAGGTGATGGAGCAAGTGGTGGCAGTGCAGTCAATGGTGTGGAAGCCGTAGGTGGAGGATCTGGTGGCGCTGACGGCTGGATGAACTCCCTGGAGCCTCCAACAGAGACAGACAACTGAACGGGCCACTCTGATCCTCCAGCGGAGACAGCTGGCTCCGTTCTCCAGAACCCCTCAGTGGGAACAGAAGCAGGACCAGCAGGTGCGGAGACCCCTGGCAGTGACAAAACAGAACCAGGTCCTCTGGCAGCGATGATATGGCAGGAGGCCACTGTTATACTCGGAATTTGTTTTTAAAACCATGACTAGCCCTCCACCTCTACCTCAGCCCAGTCAGATGAAGATGTTCACACAACATCTGAGACTTGACATCACACAGATGCACACAGACACGGATTTTGTTACGACCCCCTCTGCTAGGCGTCAGGGAGGGAGTAACATACACGAGCCCCCCAACACAAAACTGAGTAAAGCAAAAGGTTTTAATTACAAACTTTAAACAGAAAACCGACAGGGCTGTGCAACAGACCACTGGGCAGACAATTATTAATACATAATTATTACTAAAAGTGGGCACTAAAGAAATGCACTTATTAATTTTAAAAGCAGAAGCGGACGAGGAGGTGGGACCGGAATTGTCAACAGAGACAGATGAGGCTTGAGACTGAGACTCCAGCTCAAGCTTTCGGAGCCTAACGGCTTTGTCTGCCTCTATTTCCAGCCTTCTTATTTCGAGCTGAACCCGCCTGTTCTGAGCCTTCTCCTCAGCCTCCAATTGGAGACGTGCCAGCCGCACCTTGAGCCGAGCTCTTTCTCTGCCTTCTGAACTCCCAGAAGAGAGTGGGTCATAGCGAGGAAGCGTGCGCGGCGTTTTTCCCCCGCTCATCCCCCTCACCATCCCCACTAGAACCATTTTGGCCCTCTTCAACTACGGCAGCTTGGCTTGGCACACCAGAGACCACAGGTGAAACAGGCACTTGAAGCACACCAGCTCCCACCAACTTGTCCACCACTAAGGCTTTTATATCACACCTACGGAGGGTTTTTGAAACCTGCAGCTGAAAGTGATCCACAACTTGCAGCAAATCATTTTTGCGACAGCTATTAATAATCGCAAGAGATGGGGCAGCTATAAAGTGCTGTAAACAAAACGCAGCCGACATAGT